GAACTATTCTCTGGATCTCAGCCTCTTGAGTAGGAAGTAAGTACCAGCATTAACTACAGGCATCTGACTAAAGGCATTTATTTTTTTGATTCAAGCACTGATAGAATTTTGGAGTACTTACAACTCAGGCTATTATAAGTAACAGTTTTCTAAGCCCTTTCTACATATCATATTACACAGTGTGTGCATTTCTGTTTGGTATTTTCAGGAAGCTGACTGAGATTGCTGATTAGAGAAGTCATAGAATCCACAGATCAATTTAGGATGTGACATCTTTCAATACTAAGAACATGATACGTATTTCCATTTATTCAGGTCGTACTTTAAATAAATAATATGTAGTAATACATATAATCTTTACTAGATTCATTCCTGATTTTATTATAATCATAAATAATAACTTTTCAAACTTTTAGCTCATCAGTTGATTATTGGAAAAACAAACTGTTTTGGAGACTGACTATCTAACAACCCTGGTAAATTCATTTTAATTCTAATAAATATATGGATTATTCTGAATCTTTTTTCTTTATTCAAACATGTTGTCTACAAAGACAGTATTCTGTCCTCCTTCCAATGCTTTCAATATTCTATTTTTCTCCACAATTCAACCAAAAGGAATTTCTAGTAAAATGCTACTTAAAAAACAGAAATAACAGGCATCCTTCTCTCATTCATGATTTCAAGGAAAAGCCTTTCAAGTATATTGGAGGATTTTTGTATACTTACTGCATTAACAATATTCTCTTCCAGTCCTGGTTTGTAGAGGTTGTTTTGTTTTTTGACTTAGGGTCTTGTTATGTAGTCCAGGCTGGTCTTATCTTAAAATCCTCCTACCCTTTTCCAAAGTACTAGAATTGGGCATGTGCCATCATGTCCAGTTAAAAGTGATTTTTTAATTATAAACTACTATGGAATTTATCAATGATTTTGTGCCCCTTAAACATTAAGATTTTCTCTTTCATTCTTTAAATGAGGTATAACCTATTCTCTTTTTTTTTTTTAACTTTTTGCACTACTGAGTTTTGAACTCAGGGCCTTGTACTTGCTAGGCAGGCATTCTACCACCTAAGCCACTCTCCAAGTTGCCTTAGTTGTTTTGCAGACAAGATCTCATTTTTGCCTGATGTCAAACTTAGATAGCAATCTTCTTATCTACAGCCTCTGCATAGCTGGGAATCACAGCAAATTTCACCACACACAGTGTATTTGTTGAGATGGGTCTTACTAAATTTTTGCTGGAGCTAGCCCTGAACGTTGAGGCTCATAATCTCCACCTCCCAAGTAGATGACACTACAGTTACAAATTACCTCACTTGGCCTACTCTGTTGAATTTCATATGCCAGGAAAACTGTACTTCTAAAATAAAACCATACGGAAATATTTGATCATTATTTTTTCATAATTTTTACCCTTTTCTCCCACCTTTACTTCTAGATTCTAATTATGTACATATTAGGCCACTTGATACTATCTGTGAGGCCATATTTTCATCTACTTTTCCTATTCTACCTTCAAATTCACTAATTCTAACTTGTATGCTCTGGTATCAAGCCTTCTCTAATCTGTTATAAAGTTCATCCAGTAAATCATCCATCTCAATTACTTTACTTGTGGAGAAAGAATCCACTCCCTCTTGTCAAAAGGAGATGACAATGCCTTCAACCCTAGAACTAAATATGTTATGTTATAATGTAGCAAAGGAACTTTACAGATATAACTAATGCTATCTGTGCTATCTGTTAAATGAGATCTTAAAAACAAATGTGCAGTTAAGAAAAAGAGATATAACAAAAGAAGAAAACTCAACAAACTATTGCCAACCCTGATATATATAAGCTAACACCCAAGAGACTGAATACAGGCCTATAGTTATGATAAAGGTGCAGGTATAAACCTCTGGCTGAAAGAGCAATATATGACAGTAGTAGAAAGGGCATGAAGGAGAAAAATAGGAATATATACTTAAATTTTTTTATATTATTCATGAAGTAGTATACTATTACATGATACTGTACACTGAATAGGATCAATATTAAAAGCTCAAGGATAAATATTATAACCAGTTAAAAATTAACATATATATTTTTAAATGTTAATAGAGATTAAGATACTATATTTAAAAACATTTAATTAGAGTTTCTTGCTTCCCTCTAGAGGTGGTATAGCCTGTTATACTAATCCTCTACAAATAAAAATTACATCATTAGTTAAAAACAACAACAAAGAAAATCTACAGTATTTGAAAGTACCTAGTGAGTAGTAAATAAAAACTAGAAGGTAGTTGATGCCTGAAAGATGAAGCTACATGGAATGAAATTTGTGTATTTCTGGATATTCTCATCAGAATCTTCCAAAACTTCTGATATAAAATGTTTGAAAGTTTCAGCATTTACTGGACAAGATCACATAAAGTTTGAGGTTGGGAGAGTGACTAAAACCTCAGGATAGAAATTCTGGAGATCAGGAAACCACAAAAAGGATGGGTCTCAAAATCAATTTTAAACTCAGAAAAAATGTATTTGTTGGTAACTGAACTATGCATATTCAGATGAAGAGCCTAGGAGACCTGGAAAAAAACCAGTAGCTATTAGGACAAAAGCACCAAATGAAGAATTTAGCTGCAATTCATTGTTAGAATTTTATATCAATCAACTTGCCAACTAAAGAAACACTGTAAACTTTACTCTTTGCACTCTATCATTCACCATCACAATGATTCATTTCTTTGTGGTTGTAGATCTCTGTTTCCTATATATTATTTATTGTTAAAATTTTGTACGCTTACAAATTTTCCTATGGCTTTTTCATTTACCTACATATTTTCAATTTTTAAATCTATATGAATACCTTATTTATCTACATATTCACCATTCCTTCATTTTCCATCTCTTACTATGTTTTCTTTTGCTTAATATGCCTTGAAATCCAAGCACTAGCTACCCTCATTTCTTTTTAGCCTGAAAAACTTTAGCAACTTTTATAATATAAACATGATTAACCTAAACCCTTGCAGATTTGTTTCCTGGTGAAAATATCTTTACTTCACCTCAACTTAGAGGAATAATTTGACAAGATTGTATAACACAGATTGATAGATTTTTACTGCAATAATTTTAAGATATTTATTACTATCTATTTTTCTGATAAGAATCCAACCATCGATCTGCTTTTCATTGCTGTAACAAAATACCTGAAGCTGAGTATTTTATAAAGAACAGGGGTTTACAGCATACAAGGACACATGCACCTCCATGTTTATTGCAGCACTGTTCACAATAGCCAGGAAGTGGAAACCACCCAGATGCCCCACTACAGATGAATGGATCCAAAAATTGTGGTATCTATATACAATGGAATATTATGCAGCCATTAAAAAGGACAAAATAATGGCATTCGCAGGGAAATGGATGGAACTAGAACAAATCATGTTGAATGAGGTAAGCCAAGAGGGGAGATAAATGGCACATGGTCTCCCTGATAAGTGGATGTTAAATCCAAAATGTAAGGTAATATGACAAAGTAAACAAGACTCGAGAAACAAAGGACCTCCACTCATCTGATCAAATCATTACTAAATGAGCCCAAGCTGCTGATCACATATATGCTATATATGTGCACATTGAAGGGAAACTAGAAGGAAGACACAGAACTAAAAGGAAACAGGAGAAAACATACAACAGTAAGACCCATCAGCTGCACTGGACATTGATCAAAACAAACTAAGCAACTCAATGGCAGTGATGGGAGGGCGGGAGGGAATGAGTGGTAAAGAGGGAACAGCTGACACTATGCAAAAGGAAAGGAATGTACATATCATCAATGTAGAAGAAATAACTGTACAGTCAAAGCCCATAGAACTCATAAACTTTACAGACCATGATAGACAATTTGCCCCATGAAGGTTAGAATGTTTTCATGACTTTAACTAAGTATCATTATCCCATAATACTGTGAAATTTGTGAAATTACATAATCATTTAATCACAATAAAAAATTTGCAAAAAAAGGGGGTGGCTATTCAGCTCCCCGTTTTAACAGTTCAAGATTTACTTACAGGGGCTGGGAAGGTAGCTCAGTGGTAGAGCGCTTGCCTTGCATGCCTGAGGCCCTGGGTTCAATTCCTCAGCACCACATAAGC